CTCCGAAAAGAAACCCGATTTACGGTGATGTTTGACAGCATGACCACACAGGTCAAAGGTCAAAGGCTTTCTAAAGACATGGAAACTCTTTGTCTCCTGTTTGGACGATGGAGCTGATGTTCAGCTCCCACTTGAGGTGATGAAGGAGACCAGGAAACGGGAGGAATCCACAGTGGTGACGGGGGAGTCACACGGGGTGATGGGGGAGGGCGGGACTTCCTGAGATCCACAACCATCTCCACTGTCTTCACAGCGTTGAGCTCCAGGTTGTTCTGGCTGCACCACGACACCAGACCTGTAGGAGGACTCGTCCCCACCAGGGGACCATGGGTTCAGCTCCTTTGTCTTTCAAAGCGGCAGCAGAAGTCATTCAGCCGGTGAGCCGGGCGGAGGTCGCTCGTTGGGTGGGGGGCTTTGGCTTGTAGCTGGTGGTCCGTCTGAGGCCTCTCCAGACGTGTTGGACAGTCGTTAGCAGAGAGCTGCTGTTGGAGCCTCTCTGAGGACAGTCGCTTGGTGTCTCTGACCGTCTTGTCAAACCTGTGTTTTGACACTTTATACAAGTCCCCGTCCCCACTTCTCATCGCCTGAAGGAAATACAAAATGGAATCGAGCAGTTAGAAAAGAGAAAGAAGAGTAACTGTATCATTATAATCATTATTATTTTAATCTTAAGCAGTGGAGACGCTGAGCGTGGACTCAATGTCCTTCACACAGGAAGTCCGTCCTCTAAAGTCAGTGGGTTCCTCATTTCATCTTTGTGTGTTTTCTGTGAACTGGTCGACGTGGCGCAGGGGTAGAGAGGGTGTGCAGGGAACTGCAAGGTTGGTGGTTTGAGCCCCGGCTGCTCAATGTTGAAGTGTCCCTGAGCAAGACACCTGACCCCTAATTGCTCCCTGGGCAAAAATGTAAAAATCCATTTGTTAAAAATGTAATGTAAGTCGCTTTGGATGAAAGTCAGCTAAATGACCTGTAATGTAACTGAAATGTCTTGGTGAGAATGTGGGTAAGAAGTTTAAACCTCCAACTCAGATCAACTTACATGAGAAACACGTTCAGGGTGTCAAACCCTCAAACTGTGGCAGGTACCAGGTTTTTGTTCTGAACCGGTTCGTCTTCAGCCGTAAACCTGAAGAAGTGGATCTTTAATCAGAGGCAGTGTGACGTCACCACTTCAGGGTCTAAAGAGAGACGCAGTGAGACGCCGATGACGCAACACTGTGTCTCTGCTATTGGATAAGAGACACCAGCTGACCAGAACAGCTGATTCCATCATCAACAGCACCAAACGGCGGCAGCACGTCTCAGAGGAGTGATGAGAAATAAACCACAGGCATCATGGAGACATCGTCTCACAGACTGAACACACACTAAAGCTTCAACACGTTTGAATCAAACTGCATCAGAATCACTTCCTCTGTCCTCTGAGGGACAAAAGTGATGCAAACCTCTTGGATCTTCAGATGAATCTCAAACTCACGGCTCCATTTT